TACGGAGGTAGAGGAGTGACCATCTACCATCCTGCATGTCATGTTGGTGTTGTAGGAAGAGGAATCACCAGCACTCAGTAGAATAATCCAACATGTCCATTTATTGGACATAGAAGTCACACAATCACAAGAGCTGATTGGGGGGGAGAAGTTTGTTAATAAGAGTAATCACTCCAGCTTTCCTACCAACAGCGTGAGCCCCATAGACAGATCCAACCCAGGTTTTCTTAAGGCGAGGAAGGTGGTTTCTTAAGGCGAGGTAGGTTTTTTGAAGGAGGACAACATCTGCTTGCAATTTCTTAAGGTGACGTAGGATTTCAGACCTCTTGTGTGGTGACCTTAGACTTTTCACGTTCCATGATATTATATTCAGGGGGTTCCCATTGGACGATGTGAGATGTGAATGGCCAATGAATGGAAGCTGTAGACTAAAAAGGGATGGGAGGGCTAGGTGTCCCGGTGCCCCTAGCCTCTCCTGTAGAAGCATTTTCCATAGATTGAAGTACGATTGATACAGCATCTGTGGGTAACTGGAGAACACTGGTGGTAGGGGTACCCCATGTTGTATCCCCTGTGGTGAGAGAGAAAAAGTGTTCTGGTTCATAAACAAAAAAACAAACTGGAGTGACAAACATGAACTTGCAAGTAGCATCAACATGCCAAAAAGGAGATGACCAACAGGTGACTCACTGTTTTCCTGTGAGGGAGTATTGGGCTCATAGGAGACCGGCTTCACCCTTGGCATGGGGGGTAAAGCTGAGGTAACCATCCTTGGAAAATCTACTAACCGCGTGGGGGTCACTAGTATCACAGATTCTCCGTCCGTCCCGCCTGACAAAAGAGAGAATGACAACCAATGTTGTGTAACAATCGGATCACCATATGGGTTCAAGAATTAGTCTCGAGCCTCTTCTTTCTGGGGGGGCTCTTAATAGGTGAGTTGGAACAGGCGTTCGCCATGTTCTGGACAAAGGCACGTGCCTTATCAGGCGTCGTAAAGGAGGAGAGGGTGCCGTCAGGGTTGGTGATACGTAGTGTAGTGGGATAAGGGAGGGAAAATTTTACTCTTTGGAGTACCAAGGTTTGACACACCTCTTGAAATGTCTTTCTGTGTTTGGTAAGTTCAGCAGAGTAGTTAGCAAATAGAAGAATTTCATGTCCTCCAGCAACCAGATTCCTTTGGGAACGGTATAGTTGGAACAGCAGATGTTTGTCAGTAAAGTACAAATACCTTACAATGACTGGTCTTGGTGTGTTGTCGTCTCTGGGTGCACCTAGCCTATGAGCCCATTCCACTACACAGGAGTGTGTGAGGCCCAGTGCTTGTGGTATCCCATCAACACAGAATGGGAGGAGATCTCCCGATTTCACTGACTCGGGTAGGCCGATCACACATCCTGCGGGACAAGTTCTCTGGGTCAACCAATTTCTCATAAATTGTTAGGAACTTGTGGGATGTAGCTTTAAGGCATGTGCTGCTTTCTGCCTTGTCACACTCTAAGCTGTCAATGTGTTGTTCTGCTGAGGATAAACGTTGTTGCTCAGAATCCAAAGCAGTGGTAATGTTGCCTAGATGCATTTTAATGGAGTCCATCACTATCTGTGAAATGTAATTTTTCAGTTGGGATGCTACGTCAGAAGCCAACATTGATATTGTGATCTATAGTGCAGTTTGAGTGGGGAGTAGGCAGCTCATCGTCAGACTCAGTATCTGTACTGTGCATCGTGGCTTCAGCCGGCAGCATCTTGGGAGCTGCATTCTTCCCTTCTATGTCTTCGGTCAGCGATCGTCTGGCGGATTGCGGGCAGGAGACGAACTGATCCATGATGGGCGGCGGTGACGAGGGAGCCGTGCGGTAATTGCAAGGCCGGTGAGGTGTAATGAACCAGGCCCGTCTGATGGGGTTGGACTGGATCTCAGCTTCAGTATTGGTGCAGCCGATTGAAACGTATGGCGTTACTAAGTTAAGCAATCTGGTAAAGTCAGTAGAAGGAGGTAGAAGGTTGTAGCAGGTTATTATCTGGTGTAGCACTATATCAATAACCCGGTATCTTGTGGCATAAGGTACAGATACAGTCTTTATCTCATAGGAAGTAATTGCTTTGAAACAGTCAATTGAATAAGGTTTAAACAGCTGATGCTGTATACTTGCAGTTTGCGAGGATTCGGTCCCACAGTGCCACCCAGAGGCTATTCAATCAATTGCTGGTTTTCCCCATATGAAGGGATTCGTTGCTGAGGAAGTCACTGGAAGGAGTTTCAGTATGCCCGAGTTGAATGGGAGGAAGTGGCTGCTGAGGCCAGATAGAAGGGGCACTCGTCCGGCCCAATATTAATAGTTTCGGTGCGGAGACTAGGAGGTCCTTGCCTGGCGTCCTACACACTTGCACGAACACCAGGCAAGTGAACCCGTCGGCTTTAATTAGAGGAAGGGGGAGGAGCCGCCTGACGTCTTTGCTGATGACGTCGCTGGTTCCCCCGACGGAGCCGAGGGAAGACCCGGAACCGGAAGATGGGTAAGTTCGTTACATGAGCAAGCGGTTAGGAAGCGGTGATCAGCTGTGCGGCGGGATGGAGAGCTCGGGGTTGCCTCTACCTCATCAGGCGCCGGAACCGGAAGTTGCTTCATATTTTCTAGTCCTGCCCGTCCCGCAGCAGTTCTGGGACAAGGTACCCGCTCTTACTCAGAAATTCACTGACCTTCTATTGCCTCGAGAACCAGCCTTCTTCTTACTCCGTCACATTTCCCCGGTGTGTCTCTGATTGTTTTATTTTCCCCACTCTCCGCACCTTTGCTTTATTTCCTATTCCCCACACCTTTTTAGATTGTCTGTTGCATAGTGCTAAAAATACTTCATATGAATCGGCCATACTCGATGGATGATTTAGTACTTGTACATTGGTTGACCATTAAGTTCTGATATAAAATATCTATTTTTGGCACATTATACCACCCATTTTGCCCAATTTGTATTTGACAGGACTGCTTTTGATTCAAGGGCATGCAAGATGTATATCTTGTTTTATTGAACTTTAATTACTTCCTCATTTCTTATTTTGTCATCACATGGCTGCATATTTCATATGCATCTCACCTTTATTCATGTTTATTGTCTCTTCAGTGTTGAATCGACTGCTTCATGTTTTTTTTGTTTTTTAAAATGTTATAAAGAGTTTATAAAAAAAAAAAAGATTTTGATATTAAATTATAAAAAGTAATAAAATAAAGCCAACAGAATATTCGTTTAAAATGATTCAATATTATAAATAATTATCTGGAAAAACAAAAGGAAGTTATGGGCCAAATTTCTACCTTTGTTTAGATTTTGGTTTAACTCATTTTTTTTGTAGCACCTGCTTAATTGCTGTCCCCTTTAAGAGAAAGATTGGTTACACAATACTGAAAATCTGAGCCTGTATCAGCTTTCCTGTTTGATGGACAACTCTAGAGAGCTAAGAAGATCTTCATTGGCTGTTACTGCGGGGTGAGCCCGCCCTAAGCAACTACTATGAGGAGAGAAACAGATTGAGTTTAGCTGCTGCCGGGGGCGGAAAGGACTTGTGGTAGTTGGCGTCCCTATGCAATAGAGGCACAGCCAGCCAGTGCAGCATAGAACTATAATGCCCAGACAGCACAGCAGAGAAGGGGAAGGGCTTGGATAATCTTTCCCGTGCAGGTGCTCAGGTGGAATCAGAGGGCATTCACCTGCAGCCTTGTGAGTGGATGGATGTGTTGTGGACCACCTGATTATAAGAGCAACAGCGCTGCTACCACTGCCATCGCCATTAGAGACCAAGGCTGTCATCACTGTGGAGAGCAGACATCTGGAGGACCACAGAGAGAGGATTCAATGGCTGCTGAGTCTGCAACCAGTATCCTGTTCCCACCTGAGAGCTGCTGGATGCTGGCACAAGAGGGAGTCCCCATGGAGATCCATCAATTTAGTGAGAGGCTGTCAAGCCAGTGACTTTCTCCCCTATTAAGAGTGCTCCAACTTAAAGGGCCCCAGCATTGCCAAGACATTATTAGTGTCAGGGTTTCTTACCCTTCCTTGTCCAGTTGCTTGCAACATGGCTTGTGCAGTGTTTCTGACACTGTTGTTTCTCTTTGGTTCCCTCTTATGACCAAATCCGTTAATATCATCATTCTGCAATTTTTGGCAAAACTCCTGAAAATTTCCTGTCTCAGAATGATGATGCAAACACCAACTCACTATTTAACCATCAGTTTGTCCATTCAGACTCTGCCCTTGCGTGTGTTCTGATCTACCAAGTGCTCGGCAGTGTTCCTGTTCTCCATGTATGATCCTGGCTCTGGTTGACTGATCTCCTGGTTGCTAACGCTGGCTACTGTTTCCATTCATCCTGCTCTCTGTGTTCCCTGACCTGGTTCAGGAGAGGTCAGACCCTTTGGCATCTGACCTCAGGCTTGGCACTGACGACGTCCTGGATTTTCTCTATTGTTTTTAAACTCCTTATATTTTTGAAACCTGCACTTTAAATTTCTGTCTGGTTTCTTGGTTCTCTAACAATTAGACTTACTTGCCAGTAGTTTAGCAAATGGGACAGGACTGCACTATAGGTGACTAGCTTTAGTGTTGGTAAAAATCCTGTTTGCATAGTTAGATATTATCTGCTACGCAGTATTATTGTCATTGTTACTAAGATTTTATAAACCATTTATTTCCTGGGTTATGGCTCATGATACCAGTTGCTGTTTTAGTCTGTTACCATCATTTACCTGTGTAAAATCCAGGGCTTTGCATTTTATTATTAAAGCCCAATATATACAGTCCACAAGGTGTGTTACTGTGTCCTGGATCTAGTCTGGGTGGTTTATCCTGGCGTGGGACAGAAGAACTTGAACTTCACAGCGGATCCTTCGGCGGTGAGCTCTACGTTTTTAATCCATCTCATTACATTTTCCCATGTTCCTAATGTACCTCTGAGGAATTAAAATATTTGCATTTTGTAGCTGATATATGAATAGTTAGCTTACCTTGGTAATGGATAACATTCACCAAAATCACTTGCAAATCAGAAGGAAGTTCTTGCAGTAATGTTGGGATGAGCTGTTTTGTTCTTTTAGATATCCAAGAATTAATTTTTTCCAGGCTTTTCTTTTTATCTTTGGGTAATGGTATGCCTTTTGACCCATAAAAATGTGAAGACTGGTCATTGAATTCCTTATGTATATGGAGTTCTATAGAGAGACACCGCAAAGTTAAAGAAGGTTACAAAAATCTGATTTTTGTACTCACCATAAAGTTATTTTCTTGGAGTTCATTGAGAGACACAGGGTTTAGAGATACCTGGGTTATGCTTCTGCCTTCAGGAGAAAGTGGACACTAGCAAACAAAACCCAATGACCAGCCTGGTATACCCCTCCCACTCCCAGCATGACTCAGTTTTGTAAAAAGCAGTACAGAGAGCAAGACCATAAACACAGAGGGAGGGGACCTCTTTTCCTCAATGAACTGCAAGAAAAAGATTTTACAGAAAGTGCAACATGTTCATTGAAGGACGCAGAATGCACAACTGGGACATCCAAAAGCAGTCCAACAAGTGGGCAACACAGCAAACAACACACTAACAGTACCCAAATGTTTCTGTTTATAGGTGGGCCTGTCTACATTCAAAGAGCTGCCTGTAGGACCTTAGGCGTAATTCTAGCATTAGAAGAGGCCTGAATATCAACATAGTAAAACTTAGAGAATGTGTAAACAGAAGACTAGGTGGCAGCCTTGCGAAGGCCCAAGAAGCACTTGCATACCTAGTAGCGTATGCTTTGACTGGAAATGGTGGAGGTTTATGTGACGGAATTGAGATCTGGGCACCCCAAAACTAATTAGTCTCCTCAATGTGGTGAAATTTACACTGCTAAACATGATTAAACAAGAATTATATCAATAATAATAATAATTAAATATATGTCTTTAGAGATTCTTCAATTCACCCTAATGACCAAATATAACTTTAGACCTGGGGGCGATACATAAATAAACATGTTTACCATAGAGAACAGAACACATGACAATACTTATTTTGAGCCAATAACAGACCCATTTTCTGCTTGCTTGACTGGACTCTGCTTGAAACCATACAACCAAGGACTATGTTAAGTAACTTCATACTTATTCCATTTTTTTTTTTACTGTTGCATTATTTGTCTCTTTTATGTAACATATGTTCTATAAATATTTCTGCACCTTTTCCTTTAGTAAAAGATTTAAAAAATGTAAATCGTTAAGCTTATCTCTACACTCCACATAAGAACTTAAAGAATCATTGTCTATGTGAAGAGTGCTACCATATTGTAAAACCTGTTATATTCCTGTCTGGAGGGACAGTGGGTAGTACAGGCATTGCTTACGTTTAGAATTGTCACAGCATTTGCTGGAAACAGTGCATATTTCTGTTAAAACACATGGTGGCATCTATTATTTGTGTGTGTAAAGGAGTTAACCCACCTCCAGTGATAGCACGGTAGGATTGGTACTGCGTATCGTCACATATTAGTGGCAGTACAGTGGGATTGGACCTGTCGTTCATTACACTTTATCCTTAAGATCATAAACTTTGATGTTGAAGCCACTTGGAACTGGTATGATGAAAAGCTGGTTCCCCTTTATGGGAACCCTCAGGAACAAGACATAAAAGGGAGTCAGGTTTTCTACAGCTCAAACTACATCCAGACAATGAGATCTGGTCCTTGATGGTACCATAAGGCCAACTGTTGATCCAAGCCTGATTGCAAAAAGGTGAGGGTTCATCCACGGAGTATTTCCTGAGATGAAAATTTCTGTCCTTGCCCCAAACAAAGTATGTCTTCCAACTCCAATGGCAGACCTTACAGGAAGTAGACTTCCTGGCTTTTAACACTGTGGGGATCCTTGAATTAGTGGGGTGGGGGTCCCTCAATCTTTGGGCTTCAACAGCCATTATGTTAAAGCCAGCAACTATGAAGATGGGTAGCAAATTGGTCCTTGAGACAGATAATCTGGGTCTTCTGGAAGAGACCACAGAGCCTCTGCCAGCTTGTGGAGCAGCCAAGTAAAGCATTTTAGGGGAGTAAAGGTTTTCAAAGGATTTCTTTTTCTGGACACAAACTTGTGTTATTTGTTGTTGCACATGGAGGTCAGGAGGCCCATATCCAGTATTTTCCCGCTGAAACACAAGTTGTAAAACACCCCCAGGTGTAGGAACCACTTTCCCAGGTCCAGGCACTGCTGGCTTAAGTAGTCTTCCTGCCACTTGTCCACACCTGGAATGGAAACGGCTGACAAGACTGGGAGCTGAAATTCTGTCCTGGACAGAATCCTGTATGCCTGTCTTGCCACAGCAAGACTTCAGGTTCCTCCCTGATGGTTAATGTAAGCCACTGCTGTGGCATTGTCTGATTAGATCCTCAATGGTCCCTACAACAGAGTTGTCCAGAAGTGTGGGGACAACCAAGTTGCCTAAAGCTTCAAAATGTTGATCAGGAGATGGGATTCTTTGGGCATTCAAGTCCCCTGCACCGACAAGTTATAGAGGACTCCTCCCCAGCCCAACAGACTGGCATCCATCATGAGAATCCTTCAAGAGACTGGGAAGAAGAATTCCTAACTCCGGAGCTGGATTGCTGTGCCACCAGGCCAGAGACAGATTGGCCTTCACTGAGAGATTAAATGGATGGTATTGTCAGGGTTCCACCCTGACTTAACTGGTTTGCAGCATTCTGGTTTGGTTGCCATTTTACCCACCTGTGATTCATCCTTTACCTCAGCAGACTCCGTACGTTGCTCACTACTCCCAGACTCCCTCTTATGGCCAAACAGGAGAGCATAATCTGAGAGAGCCAGATGGGAGTTTCCTGTCTCTGAGTGATGATGTCACCCCACTCACTATATAAACCACTCAGTCCAGTCTGACCTTGCCCTTGCGTGGTCTTACCTGCTAGTGCATTCCTGCTGCTCTGAGTATTATGTGTATGACCCGATCCTGGCTGACGTTCTCCTCTGGTTCTTGCTCCTGGCTTGTTCCTGACAATGCTGATTTCCTGGTTCCTGCTCCTGGCTTGTTCCTGACAATGCAGATTTCCTGGTTCCTGCTCCTGGCTTGTTTCTGACAATGCTGATCTCCATGTTCCTGACCTGGCTTGTAGGACTACCCACTCCGGCTCCTGACCTTGGCTTGCTCCAGCTTATGATGTTTGCTTGCTCCTGTGGACACTGTTCTTAATAAATATTTTAACTAGCACCTTATGCTTGCCTGGTTTTCAATGTGCTCTGACAGATATAGAGTCTGGTAGCAAAGTGTTTGAAGTTTCTCCTGGGGAAAGAGAAACCCTGGCCTCAGTGTAGAATTAGGCCCAAATATTTCAAGTAATTAGTCTGCTCCAATGCTGACTTTCAAAGGTTTAAGATCCAACCAAACCTTTTTAATGCCTGAACTGTCTGGACAACATTGTTGGTCAGCTGTTAGACATGTACACTGGCAAAAAAATAGTTTCGTTTTGATTCAGATTTTGCTTTTTTTTTTTTAGTTTTTTGGGATTCGGGTCCGAAATTCAATTCGTTTCAGGATTTGGAAAAATTTAGTTAGCAGTAGTCCGGTTGAAATGATGTTGTTGGACAAAATTTCGTTGCAGAAAAATAACAGGAAAAAAAAAGTATTTATTATTTTTTAGTCTGCAGAAGAGGAAAAAAAAAAAAAAAAGCATGAGGTTCCCCTCAATTCATACCAGACCCTTTAGGTCTGGTAGGAATGTTAGGAGGGACCCCCAAGTTAAAAGAATAAAAAAAAGTGCGTGGGGTTCCCCCCAAAATCCTACCAGGCCTGTTAGGTCTGGTAGGAATTTTAAGGGGGAACCCCAGCCCCATAAAAAGGGGACAAAATGTGGGGTCCCCCCTAACAGTCCTATCAGACCCTTGATCCGAGCACTGGCCCAGCAGGGCAGGAAAAGGGGGGCAATTGAGTGCCCCCTCCCCCCCTTCGCCTTACCAGGCCACTTGCCCTCAGCATTGAGAGGGTGTCCCCATGCCGATAGGGACAAGGGCCTCTTCACCACCAGATTTTGCTTTTTTTTTTGGGGGTCTGTGGGATTAGGGATGTGTATGACCCGATCCTGGCTGACGTTCTCCTCTGGTTCTTGCTCCTGGCTTGTTCCTGACAATGCTGATTTCCTGGTTCCTGCTCCTGGCTTGTTCCTGACAATGCAGATTTCCTGGTTCCTGCTCCTGGCTTGTTTCTGACAATGCTGATCTCCATGTTCCTGACCTGGCTTGTAGGACTACCCACTCCGGCTCCTGACCTTGGCTTGCTCCAGCTTATGATGTTTGCTTGCTCCTGTGGACACTGTTCTTAATAAATATTTTAACTAGCACCTTATGCTTGCCTGGTTTTCAATGTGCTCTGACAGATATAGAGTCTGGTAGCAAAGTGTTTGAAGTTTCTCCTGGGGAAAGAGAAACCCTGGCCTCAGTGTAGAATTAGGCCCAAATATTTCAAGTAATTAGTCTGCTCCAATGCTGACTTTCAAAGGTTTAAGATCCAACCAAACCTTTTTAATGCCTGAACTGTCTGGACAACATTGTTGGTCAGCTGTTAGACATGTACACTGGCAAAAAAATAGTTTCGTTTTGATTCAGATTTTGCTTTTTTTTTTTTAGTTTTTTGGGATTCGGGTCCGAAATTCAATTCGTTTCAGGATTTGGAAAAATTTAGTTAGCAGTAGTCCGGTTGAAATGATGTTGTTGGACAAAATTTCGTTGCAGAAAAATAACAGGAAAAAAAAAGTATTTATTATTTTTTAGTCTGCAGAAGAGGAAAAAAAAAAAAAAAAGCATGAGGTTCCCCTCAATTCATACCAGACCCTTTAGGTCTGGTAGGAATGTTAGGAGGGACCCCCAAGTTAAAAGAATAAAAAAAAGTGCGTGGGGTTCCCCCCAAAATCCTACCAGGCCTGTTAGGTCTGGTAGGAATTTTAAGGGGGAACCCCAGCCCCATAAAAAGGGGACAAAATGTGGGGTCCCCCCTAACAGTCCTATCAGACCCTTGATCCGAGCACTGGCCCAGCAGGGCAGGAAAAGGGGGGCAATTGAGTGCCCCCTCCCCCCCTTCGCCTTACCAGGCCACTTGCCCTCAGCATTGAGAGGGTGTCCCCATGCCGATAGGGACAAGGGCCTCTTCACCACAACACTGAACCCGTGGTTGTGGGGGTCTGTGGGCTTATTTGCATCGGAGTACCCCTTAAATTAAGGGGCACCCAGATGCCACCCCCCTTGTGAATGAGTAAGGGGTACCTGTACCCCTACCCATTCATTAAAGGGTTAAATAAAAGAGTTATTAAAAACTTTTGATAAAATCCTTTAATTGCAAAAAAAACAGAGAGCCAATTTTTGACTATTCCTTTAATTTTTTTTTAAAAGGCTACATCGATGTAATCCAGTGTGAATCATGATGCATGACGCCCGCCGACCCGGCGAAATTAAAAAAAGTCCCGCCGCACAACGACCGTCCGAACCGA